CGAAGACAATCTTCCGTGGTCACATGGCCATTGCGACTTAGACACGGAACGCTGTTACCTTCCCACCGAGGTGGTCCCTATTTATGTACTTGCATTTGCATGCTTTCGAACCGCTAGGTTGGTGGGAGATGGGACAAGAGACGGGAGCTCCCTCCGTTGCGTGGATTCGATCTTACGACTGCTTGGTCTTCTGACCCTGCAGCACAGGCATCTGCAGTTTAGCCTGCAGCGCCACCACGTCCCAGTGGATAGAGGGAAGCTCTTTTCCCTCTCACACAATACCAGAACCAGAGGACATCCACTCCAATTGAGTGTTGGAGAGAGTGAGAAAAAACAAAGGAAAGTATTTCTTTACCCAGCATGTTGTTAGTTTGTGGAACTCCTTCCCACAAGATATGGTGATGGCATCTGGCCTAGATGCCTTTAAAAGGGGATTGGACAGATTTCTGGACGAAAAGTCTATTGCAGGTTACAAGCCAAGATGGGGATGTATAATCTCCAGGCTTTGAAGGAAAGTACCTCAAATCACCGGATGCAGGGGAGGGGGATCAGGAAAGAGGTATCTTGTTGTCTTGTGTGCCACCAGAGGCATCTGGTGGGGCCACTTTGAGATACAGGAAGCTGGACTAGATGGCATCTGGCCTGATCCAGCAGGGCTCTTATGTTCACATGCTATTGGTGAATTCTGGGGATTCTAGTGAAATAAGTAAGTAAATAAGTAAGCAAGTAAGCAAATAAATAACTAAAGAAATGAAATGCATATAATTTGCCCCAGGGTGCTTCCCCCCCTTTTAAACAAAATACAGGCTATTTGGACGCGAAGCAAGATGGTGAACTGCGAGGAGTTTATGCAGTATGTGTGATCACTGCAAACATTCAAGGGTAAAGATTTCATCTGTTTTCTGCATCCCTGATAGAAACAGATTTTGAAATTTCTGAGCAACTCCTAGGGAGCTGCTTTTCTTTAAGCGGTTCTATCATTTGTCTGTCTTGAATATTTAATGTTTCAAGATACTTCTGTCGGTGCACAGAGTAATCTTAATTTCTTACCCAGTGTGTGGCAGAAGTTACCATGAGGGAGAGGGACTCCACCACCATCTGTGGAGACAAACTCCCCTTATGGGTCCCCACACCCCAACTCAAGAGATGTCAGCTGGTATAAATCTCTCATCATCAGTGTTCTTTGGGTCAGTGAGCCCCAAAATGCGGATGCTCCTAGACAAGGATGGATGTGGCGTTGGATCCAAGAGGCCTTAGGATCAGACTTTTCAACTCTATCTGGCTGAAACTGTAGAGGTTATTTTTCCTCACTCCACTGGTTTCACTGGGGGCAGGGAGAATTATATATCTAGTAGGTGAAAGATGAAGGGAAAGTCTCTCTCACATACCTTCCTGCCCTGGCTGGTGTGAGCTGGCAGAGCTTTCTCGGTGGTAAATGATTCATGTTCAAAACATTCTCATTATATCACATGGGCTTAAAAAAAAATCAAGAAGCCATCATGGCTAAAAACAAACCACATAATATGGGCACACCCCTAATTTTATTCTGCTTTATAGTCCCCTCCCCCCCGAAGAATATATTTACATCTGAATCATGCAGTGTGACTTACGTAATATAAAATAACTAACACAGCCTCTTGATAAATATAATGATGTGTTATAATATTTATAGTCTTATACTTCTCCTGCATGGCCAAACGTCCATAAACTACAATATGAATGTTGTTGGGATTTCATTAGTTTACATACGGAAATGTGTATTGGATAACAGATGGTTATCACACTGCATGCATTAACTGTCTTACTTTTTGCCACATTCTCTGGGTTATTACCACCAACAGTGTTGTTAATGGCCAGCATTAATAATCTAATTATCATTGTTTTCTGTTTCTGAGTTTGCTCTGACTTTATAGTCAATATTTCTTCCTCAACCCTGTGCCCTATACCTGAATCTCTGAGATGATGCTCCATAAACCCGAGGAAATGGATTGCAATGTACTCCCTAAAAGTGTGTGCTGTGATAAATTTCTTGTTATGAAAGGTGCCATGTTTTTCTTTGCTCTTTTGCTGCCATAAAACCGTTTTGAAAATATGTGTAATATGGTGTCACGTCTGAATATGGCTGTTGTTTGGATAAGATGCCATCCATCATTCTACACAGAAGTGATCGTGGCAAGACTCAGTTTGCAAATTGCACTGTCTAATGATAGATCTTTCTAGGTTAGCTTAGATTATGCCATTGTTTTCTGTACTGACAAGATGTGATGTGACCCCACTTAAAATATGCTGCATGGGAAAGCTGTTGTTGCAAGCAGGTAGAATCGGAATGGCAGATGGTAATGCAATGAGAAAACAGGTGGAGGCATTGTTGGAAGACTGTTTGAATTAAGCTTGCTTAATTTGTTAGATCTCTCTTTAATCCCAGCAGCTATAGTCTCTTGCACTGTATCAGGTTTATCATGCAGGCAAATGGTCAGAACTAGCCCATCTGTAATCACTTATTGCATTAAATCTTCTTTAAGCTAACCAGCAAACAAATGCCTTCTTTCTCCCTGTAGGTGAGAACAGCCCCTGACACCAGGGCATGAGAAAAGAGGTTGCAGTGCCTGGAAAAAATGTTTATTTTCTTGGGAGTATTTTCAGCTGTAGGGTTACTCCCTTCTCTCCTCACTTGGCTAAAGTGCAAAGAAAGCTCTGACAATCACAGGGTTTGCCTTATTTGCAGGGCCCTCTTCCAAACACAACAAAACAAAAAACCCAGCACAGCATTTCCCAAAACAGGGGCCCTCCATGAGTGCTGAGACTGCAGCCTTCATGTGGGAATCAGCTGCAAACTGCTCCTACCCATGCTGTGGGTAGAGCAACAGTATATGTCAGTCCTACAATACTGTGATGTTGCAGGACTAACAAGAGACACTTGTCCAGCAGGCCGAAGCCAAGAGGCAGTTCCGAAACTACCAAAATCAGGGAGCTGGACAGGGGACAGATTGTAGTATTTGTCTTCAGTGTGGAAGAGAACTGTCACTCTCGAATTGGCCTTCTCAGCCACGCTTGATGCTGTTCCAAGACCTCTATTCGGAGCACATTACCATAATCTCTTGAGACTGAAGGATGCCTACAAAGGCAGGAATTTAAATGGCCATCCGTATTCTGTTTGGACTTTTGTGTGGAAAGACCGTGAAGTTTTACTTTTCCAACATTCAGACTAGATTCCAGAATGTCTTAACTCTTAAGCATATATCTTTTATAGCAGATTATGGTTGGTAGATCAGAGGTCCAAGTTTGGAGGGGAAATGGGCAAAACAAAGTAGATATTACAAAACTGGTCTCCTTAATCACAAGCCTGACCAATGCTATCATGTGCCTATAACGGCATGCAACAGCATGCACTCTGACCGTAAATGCACATCTACTGCTAGTCTGTGCATTTCTATTCTTTAAGAACATTGTAGAGTGGGCTGGCATAATTTGTCAATTGGGTCTATGCAAAATTAATTCTGCGTATAAAAGCAGTTGGACCATGCCATTAGTCAGAATGAGGCTGGGGCAGCAGATTTTGAATGCCATGAAAAGACAGCAAGCTGTTTCTTATTTAATTTGGTGTTTTATATTTTTACTGCCAAATATGAGAAGAAGCATTTGTGGTAGAGGTTTTTGTTTCCCCAGGAACCATAGCAATTCTAGGAGTTGCAATCCAAACAAACCCAAATCTGCACACCTCTAGTTTGTGGTTGATTCTACTTTGTCTATCAAAATAATCTGGCAGGATGTGGATACCATGGACTTTGACATGGTTATGGAATGCCAGGTTTTGCTCTCACAAATGTCGTGGACCAGCTTTCTGCATAAGAGTCCCAGTTGCTGAGGCAGGCCACCCACAGTAGATCTTAAACCTCTTCTACACAGTCCAGTGACTGCCTGGTGCCTTCCTCCCATTTCAGGCCATTTCTCAATCACATAGTGCACGTGGAACCTAAGCAAGCAGGTTGAGGGTGAGGTAAAAGACAACAGATTCCAAAAACATGCCTAACCAGCCATCCAGCAGGCAGGGGAACATTTTCTCCACACTATGCAGGAGCACTTTGCCCTTAAAAAAAAAAGGAAGAAAGAAAGAAAGAAAGAAAAAAGAATGCCAAAACAGCACCACCCCAAAACTTCTTTCACCTTTAAAGGAAAGGTACGTTGTACACGCCAAGAGGCACTGTGCCAACGTGTAAACAAGTGGTTTTATGTGTGGGCTAAAAATAAATTCTGAGCTAGAACTGTGAGGGAAAAGCCAGGCCAATTGAAGGTAGGTGAAAACCTCCCACTTAGGAACAAGTAAATCCTCATAGTAGCAAAAGATGAATGTGACCCAGATACACAGAGGAAGCCGGTGGTAGTGGATCTGATTAGAGTGGCTGAAGGAGAGTGTGGTGAGAGAAACAGAATCCTTCAACATCCTTCTCTAGCATTTTCTTCCAGCCAAGTGTACTTCTAGCCTCGGAGGTTCACATGCACCCTGTATTAAACATTTCAACAAAAAACCCACAACAACCATTAGATCCCAGCCGTGAAAGCCTTCGCGAATACATTTCAACAAGACATTCACATATAGTTTAGTCTTCACTTGTAAAAGTTTAGTCTTGGTCACTAAAATCAGCACACATCCCACCCCCTCCATCAAAGTCTTTGCACACTTCCAAGAGTAGTCTCAGGCTTTGTCATGCCTTCTTTATATTTCAAAGGCAGCAAATGTCATCCATCATCTTCTTGCTAATTATTCTATGATTTCATTACTGTACAGGAAACAAGCCTGAACTATTTCTGGAGGCAAAAATGTTGAAACTGAGACAGTCCTACTTTCGACACATCGTGAGAAGGCAGGATTCTATGGGAAAAACAATAATTCTGGGCAAAGTGTAAGGCAGCAGGAAAAGAGGAAGACCAAATACGAGATGGATCAATTCCCTAAAGGAAACCACAGCCTTGAGTTTACAAGAGCTGAGCAGAGCTGTCGAGGACAGGACCTTTCGGAGATCACTCAATCACATGGCAGCCATAAATGAGAGGTGGCGTGATGGCATGTAGCATCAACAACAAACTGCAAACAAAACTTTTAGCTCCAGTGAGCAGGACTGTCTCAAGAAATATTGCAACTGCAGCAAAGCAGCAAATGTCCTGTCACCCAAGTCGAAGTACATAATACTCCAAAGCAGACAAATAATTTTGGCGCACGAGGTAATAAATGCCGTGAGTAACTGATTCCATCCATGAGAGTAAAAATACAGTAACAAGTTAAGTAAAGTAACTAATGATTTCTGTTATTCTGACACTCAGAATTTGTTGCCTGAAGCGGACAGCTTACTGTGCCACAGCAGAAGAGGTAATCCTGTTTTATCAGTCAGTTATCAGACTAAGATAGTTAAGTTGGGTAAAACTGAAGAGATCTCGAATATGATGAAGTAATGGTTGTACTTTATCTCCTCAGCCTCACCAGGAGACACCCTGGAACTTGCCAACAAGCTTGCCTCCAGCATGAAGTCATGGTCACACATCAGTTCCCGTTCTAGCAGCTGCCACGAAATGTGCTTCTGATCCCTGGCCAAAAATTATGGAGGGCGTTTCTTCTCCATATGGACCTTTGCACTTTAATCTTTGCTTTCATAATTTGCCAGGCTCTTGCTTGGAACTCCCATTTTATGGGACTGATTTGGTTGCCTTTCTAATACGATACAGTACGTATATACAGCGACTGCCTGATGGTTTCAGAGGAAGGAAATTGCAGAGCCAGAAATGAAGGGGAAAGGGGCAACCGTAATGTTCACTGTGCAGGACCAATTTCCCAACATGGGGAAAGGCCTCAGTTGTGGCAGCTAGTTTATAATGTCGATGGCAATTAAAGCGGGGGGCAGCATAAGACCATTGGTCGTGTTGGTTCGAGGCCACTGATTTCCCCCACTCTTGGGGGGAAATGTGTGGTTGAAGCAAACAAGCAAGAAAAAGACAGTCAGCACTGACAGGGCATTCAAAATGATAGTGGAGGCCAGGTGAGCACTGCCGTCACGTTCCTTCAGTGATGTTGTTGTTGCCACCATACTATTGTTTTAATTTTATTCTGATTGCTACTTTCATATCAAGATTTTCCTCCAAGGAGCTCAAAAATCTAGCCCACTTCCTGTTTTTATGTTCACAATAAACTATAAAGTAGGCAGTCTTGAGGGACAGCGTCTGATAGCAAAGGTCACCTACAAAGCCATGTGTCTGGTTGGGGATCTGAGTCCCAATTTCCCTAGTTCTGGTCTGACTATCTCACCATTACATCACACTGCCTCCGGGACGAGCACAACAAATCTCCTATGACAGTGTACTTACCAAAATAAGACTGGCAAGCAATTTGGGTAGTCTGTCTTTTTAAGTCTTGGTAAAAGGCAGATTCTTCACAGTGAGTAGTGCTTGCTGAGGCAGTTTTGCCTGTATGCCCTGTCTAATTTACACAACCACTCAGAAATATTCCATCTTTGGTAAGCTCATGTATGTAACATTTGAGGATTTAAAAAGAGAAGTTGAGAAAGAAATCACAAACTCTAGACAAAATAATCTGATAGAAGTCAAAATTAGTTGAGTGGATGTGTCCCATGCCCAGGTACAAAATGGAGGCCCTAAAAGCTGGATTGGTTGAAACCTTCTCCTTCTACTTCTAGTGCAGGGTAAGTCACAAAAGCAGGGCTAGACTTGCTATTAAACAGAGTGACCCAACTGGCTTAGGCAGAAGTTTCAATCCTCCCGTATTTTCTCCTGTGTCCATCACCACCACCACCATCACTGTCTTCTACGTGAATCAAACAGCCTATTCTGCACCCCCTTAAGCAGGTCTGTTGCTTTCATATGTGGTGGAGGATGATACTTTGGGGCACCTATTGAAGTAAAATTCAGCTGCCAGTCCAATCAGCTTCTGTAGATGGAATGGGGGAGTGCATCGTGTCCATTGCCTTGGGCAGCAAATTGTCTTGGGCGAGGTTTGCATAAATGCTTCATCAGGTTAAATATGTTAAACTGAAAACCAGCCTTTAAAGGCACAAGAACAACAGGTCTTGCAGAGTGTTAGCTTGAACTTTGTGAAAGAAGAACAAATGCACCGTAAATGGAAAGGTGACCTCCTCATGCTCCTTGTATCAAACGAGAATAAATTGAGCAGAATCCATATTTTTTCCTGGTCATTTGCTAACTGGGCTTCTGTGAAGAAAAGCAAGCAAACCAAAGTGGTTTTACAAGGTATTTTTGGAAGCTGTTTACATCCATTAGACAGGAGAGTCAGTCTCAGAATCCTGTTTAAAATGCAAATTATGGGGTGCGTGTAACACAAATATACTCTGATAATAAATCCCACGCTATCTGATGTTCTGACTCAGAAAAGGTGAAGCACTCAGCAGTTTCTAGAACACACTTTCATATAAAACATTTACAATTCTATACAAAGCAATCTAAATTTTGTACCAGGATAGGTTACTTTTGTAAGTTATGCAAGTCAGAAGATTTATTTTATCACTCTTATTCTGCATTTCTGATTTAATTAGGCAGCAGATAGACAAAGAGCTATGTATTGGCCCTGAAGCTTTGTGGCAACCTTTAGCCACCTCTGTGAGTGCTGAGATTTTACAAGTTTGCCTAGATCCTTTCCTCTGTATCTTATCTTCACCGCTATATAGAATTGTGGACTGGATACTACAGTACACAATTGGCTAAAATCCTGTTGTTTACATCAGCGGTCCCCAACTTTTTTGGAACCGCAGACTAGTTGGGGGGGTGGGCTCCATATGGGGGGACAGGGCACCCCCGCGCTCATGGGGGTGAGTGCGACACCCCCCCACGAGCATGGCACGCCCACCATAAGCACAACACACCCACAGTGTGTTCGTGGGGGGGGCAGAGATCTAACTCCGTGGCCCAGTCCTGGGAAGCCCACAGACTGGCACTAGGCCATGGACCGGGGGTTGGGGACCCCTGGTTTACATAGTAAGATACAACTAGAGTAGACCATTGAATCTATGGGGATTTGATGAATCATATTCCATTGATTCAGTGGGCCTACTCTAGTTGCAACTTACTATGCCAAGCAACTGGGCTTCAGCCAATTGTGCCTTTGCAGTATTACTTATATACATTATGGGCAAACAACCTCAAACAGTGCAACCTTGAGGCTATCCATCCCTCACATATTAATAGTAAGGGGCTGCTGGCACATGAAGCATCCTGGATTCTTCAGGAAGAGTGCTACTCAAACACCAGGAAGATAAGTAAGCAATGGTGATCAGGTGGGGAGAAAGAGTATCAGTCCCAAATGAGAGGATAAGTTACACATGCACCCATTTTATGCAAGGTCCAGGAATATGTGGCCCTCCAGATTATGGTAACCATGTGTCCTCTTTAGAGTAGACAGCTCTCCTTTCTAAAATGGCCTCCATTTGAAGATCTGTCTGCTCCAAATATGGTTTAAAGGGGGGGGGGAAACATAAAGGAGGAGACCAGGGGCCTAGAAGGTGCTCATCCAAAGTGAGCGCCTGGACAGCAGACACAGAGAACATCTGGATGCATCTTTCCCCACTCAAGTGAAATGCAAAATAATTCTGTTCAAATGATTAAAAACAATACCTGACGTTGCATCTGAACATGCAACAAATGTGGTTTTATGGCATCAGTGTTCTCTCTTGTCCTCCTTCCTGGGGACATGTTGAGTAGCCTCCCAAGCCCAGATGTTATTGGTCTGCAGCTCCCATCATCTTTTTCAATTTGTTTGATGATTAGGGCTGATGGAAGTTGCAGTCAGAGGCAGGAAAAGGTACCTTCCTGGATGACAGCTCCCAGCATGCTCCCTCTAGCCATCTGGGAATTATAGCCCAAAGCCCCACAATATTTCTCATTTCTTGTAATCTAACAAAATTTAGAAGGCCACATAGTTCCCACCCTGGAGGAGGAAAGTCTAGGCCCTGATTTAGTAACAACAATGCTAGTTCAAGACAAATACTACAACCTTGTGCCAAAGACTTTCCAATGTTCATTGTGAGAAAATTAAGTCTAACTTCACTTCTGCTCCCACTTCCCAGAAGCTTTTTGAGTAGGCAAAGCTTGATGGCAGTTTCCAAGTGTTACATTCCTGGATATTTATAAAAAGCATGTTTTGAATCTGTAGTTCAGACACTGATGTGGGAATCTTTGAAAGTGGCCCACACTGCAGAGAGGTGAAGAAGTATTCATACATCCCCTCTCATGTCTTTGAGTGCACTCTATCAGGAAGACTGCAAATAAGAGCAGTTGAGAAGGGTTATCATCTCCCGTTCCTTCCAAAACAGCAGCTTAGCCATATCACTACAGAGAGCAAGGTGACCGCTGCAAACAGTAGATGCTTAGGATCCAGGCACTTTTTAAATTTTGTTTAGTACATTTAGATCCTAACTCTCCTCCAAGGATGCCAAGCCAACGTACTTGTGAGTATACACATACAGCAAAGAGACACTTGACCCTGATAGGAGAGCCCTAATCTAGCACTGTAACCGCTTCTATTTAGAGTACTACTCTGCTCCCATAAGATTCAATGGTCAGTCCAGTTTTGCATCTCTACATGAAAAGTTGGAGAGGCTGCCATTTTGTGCCTCTTCTCTTAGGTAAGCCCACTTAATTATTTTTTTACTGAAATTATTAAAATCCAAATGGAAGGTCCAAAAACAAAGAGAACTTTTGCTTTGTGTTTCATTCTGTGTCCAATGCTGGTCAGCAAGAAGCTGTTTGATTCCCTCTCCCCCCTCCCCCCCGGATTAAGGTCAGGTTGCCGCAATTAGTATGAGGTGTGTCTCCTATGCCCTTAGTAGTTACATAGAATTCCTGCTGGCATAGTTCCCCCGCCCACCCCGAAATATTGCAGCTGTAGAGGAAGCAGCACTGTTACTGAACACACAGGAACTCCATTCAATATCCAGAGAAGCAGCAACTGGAAAGGGAGAAAGTACAAGAAAACTGGGTCTCAGAAAAGGTATCTGAGAAGCCATGCTGTTCATGCCCTCATGTGTTTGCATTCTGGCTCCCTCAGCATGTGCCTGGCTTATCAAGCTAATTAGCCATTATAGATTAAAGGCTGAATTGATAGAAAAGGAAGAATTCGGCATATCTGTATGTAGTGAGATGCCTTCAAGACTCTCATTTCTCTTCAAAGGAAGTATTTTGAAGACCAGTTGACATTTGAGGTCATGGGACAGACATGCATAGATTCCAAGGAAGCTAGGACTGCTATTTTATTGACATTTTAATTGTCTTTATCAAGGACAAACAGCACTGTCTGAATTCTCCTCTCTCAGGTGTTGCACCACCACCACCCCGCTGATAGGCCTGTTTCTCCCACATCATGGCGCTCCTCCCCTCCTAGTTTATAGGCTTGAATTGCTTCTTTCCTGCTGTGTGAAACTTCTGCCCATGATCTTCCTGCTCTCACTGACTCTACAACTTGCAACCATGAAGTTTTCCCTCCAAGTGTAAAAGCTCTGCATGCAACTGCTCTGTAAATATTGTAGTGGTACAAAAGAAACAAACCTAGTTTTCTGTAGGTC